AAAGGATGTGGAGAAGCTTGAGAGAGTCCAGAGAAGAGCCACGCGCATGATCAGAGGTCAGGAAAACAGACCTGACGACGACAGGCTGAGAGCCATGGGGCTCTTTAGCTTGGAAAAGCGCAGGCTGAGGGGTGATCTGATGGCCACCTATAAGTTTATCAGGGGTGACCACCAGTATCTGGGGGAACATTTGTTCACCAGAGCACCTGAAGGGATTACGATGTTGAATGGTCATACACTACTGCAAGACTGTTTCAGGCTGGACATAAGGAAGAACTTCTTTACTATCCGAGCCCTCAAGGTCTGGAACAGCCTGCCATTGGGGGTGGTTCAAGCACCTACATCGAACACCTTCAAGAGTAAATTGGATTATCTTGCTGGGATACTATGACCCCAGCTGACTTCCCGCCCTTCGGGTGGGGGGCTGGACTCGATCTTCCGAGGTCCCTTCCAGCCCTAATGTCTACGAAATCTATGAAACAGGATGGATAGTACTTACTCAATTAACAGGTGGCCAATATTTTGCTTTATCCACATTGTTCAATGTGAGGCCCCAAGCCTTATTTTAACAACACATTATTTAAACTCTTTTCTATGTTTCTCATCAGCAGTATCGGACTGCTTCACAAACATTACTCTCTTTGTCTGTTTTCAACAGCACTGCAAGTTCTTGGAGTGTTGCTATCTCCACTTCACAGAGCGGAGGCTAAGGCACAGAGAGATTAAAGTCAAATGTATCCACTATTTTTGGATGCTCAAAATGAGACTTCATGGCCCACAGAATACTTGGCATTGTTATGGTACTTTACATGTTCAGAGCTAAGCTTTCAGTAATGTCAATGCTCAGTCCAAGGGTCTCAAGTTCAATATTTTGTAAATGAGGAACATGCAATCAGAGATTAACTAAGAACTATTTGAGTTAAGTGACTTGTAAAACATTGCATGTGAACACTGCAGAAAAAGGAAGAATTAACTTCTCCAGGGTAACATTTAACTGGCTAACCACAAAACTATCTTTTCTCTTCCTGTAATACTTTGCCTCATTTACTGTACACACTTCAGTTTCTACAACACAACACAAGGGTCCTACAAACAATTAACTCTACAATCCTGATGCAGCCACAAAGTAGGTGTGGGCCCGCTCCCCACACCCCCAGATGAGCTGCTCATGGCTCCGTCTACCACTCCGCCCTGGTTGTGCAGGGTCTGCCACTGCTCCCCTCCCTACCTGAGCTCCTGCAGCTGCCGGTGCTGCCCCGCGCTTGGGTTGGGGGGGGATGTCCTCCGCATTTGTGCATGGTGGACTGGGCTTTGTGCCCTGAGTCCCACTGCATGTGCTCCCTGGGCCTCCGCCCCTTCCTTCCCCTACTGACTGACCTGCTGCGCTGTAGGGGGGGATGGGGCGGGGCGTGCATGCACAGTCCAGGATCAACTTCAAAAGGCTCTGGGATCTACCAGTTAATCCTGACTGACCGGCTGATGAACACTGTCATAAATGATAATCATGTGTTTTATAATGCAGTCCTTAATTATAAAGGAGCCAAATTAAGGCTGCCCAGGAAACTTATTACTGGAATTTCCTAGTTTTGTAAATCTAGTGATTTCCACCTTAATTTTAGTAATCTTAATTTGAAATATTTCTTAGGATTATTTAAAAGGGACAAACTGAAAAACAAGCACTGCACTGTGTCATCATGTTGGTATCCATAGGTGGTATCAACAGGGGTGGAATCTTAAGGTCCTCTGTACAGATTTCTGTCATTGGAGATAATAGAGTAATGGACAGCAATAGTATGTTGCTACCTCTATGTAAATCAGGCAATTATTTGGGCTGGAGGGCCCATTAGTGACTTTGGGTGAACTGTTGCGGGCCAAGAGGGGGTGGTACTGACCTGGCCTGGCACAGTGAGAGGTGGGTGGTCAATTGATCGTATCTGGCCTGGGCCCATCTGCCCTGAGCCCACCACTAGGGGTGCTGGTCAAAGCAGGCAGGTGGAGAATAGCGTTGGGGAGTGGGATGGATGGGTAGACTGGGGCCAGGATTGTGGGGCAGTGACACTGCAGGGCTGGGACCCAGAGCAGAGCTGTGATCTGCACCCTGCATGTCCCTGCCCATGGAACCGGTGCCTGTTACAGGGATGTGGGGAGCGGATCATGGCTCTGTCCCAGGCTTCAGCCCCATGCTGTCACTGCCTCATGACTTTGACCCCAGCCCAGGCCACCTACCCTCTCTCAGATACTGCTCCTTGCCTGCTTATGGCCCCATCCCATCACCCAGCTGAGCATGTCATGCCCACAGGGGTCCTGGGCTGATTTCCATGGAGACCCCACCTGCCCGCCTTTGTCCAGCACCCCTGGTGGCAGGTGCAGGGCAGATGGGCTGGGATGTCGGGGCAGAAGACACTTGGCACTTCACAGCTATACATAACAGCAGTGCAACAGAGAGACTGGAATCTTGGTTCTGGAGGGGAGCATGTCCCTTTTCACACACCTTACCCTGAAGCCCAATCCCTTCTGCCCATACCCCCTACAGCCCAACTTCATGCCCGTCCTCTCTTTCTATTCCACCCTGATTTCTCATCTCACTTCACTCACCTTGCATATGTCTTTCCTTCAACTTTTATTTTTCCTCCTCTCCCTCAAATGGTATGTATTTCCAGGAGCAGACAATGACAGCTTATATGTGCATTAGTGTTTCAAAAATCCATATTTTCTCATTCACAATGAACCAACAGATTTCCCTAGTGGTCTATAATTGGAATGGAGGCAGAAAACAGATCATTCTAAATCACTCCCATTTTAGTCAGAATATAAGAAGGGGTGTTACTGATTGATCTTAAAGGCAAAGACCTTATCTTTCTTCTTGTGTGCATGCGTGTGTTGTACAAAAGCCAAGATAACTAATAGTGTTCAGCAGAATTCCACCCCCATTGTAGGGTGAAGGAAAATCCCTCCCTCCCTCTTCTACAGAAATATCTAAGGACTGATGACATAAACCAGGAAAGAAGATTCCTCTAAGGCATGCTTTTGAGGTGAACTTCTTAATTATACTCTGAATGACCAGAACTCCAGAGTCTCTTTTACTGCTTTATTAACACACATTGGTCCCAAGATGCCACTTTCTGGAAACTCTAGCAACTGGCAGTATGTGGGGAATAGCTACATCAAAATATACAAAATTGAAACCTGAGGGAAGTGGGGGGGGGGGGGAAAAAGCAAAAG